GACTCTTGAAGCAGGTGATCTTTAGGTGGACTTCTACCGTAGTTTTTAACCTTTTTTCCTCTTTTCCTGCACAGATGTACTTAGGAATCTGGGGAAATCTGCAAGGTGTTATAAAATGCCAGATGGAAGAAGCTGCTCAACCTGATTTTGGTACTGACCCAGAACCAAGGAAGGAAATAGTCCTATTTGATAAGCCAACAAGAGGAACCACTGTTGAGAAATTCAAAGAAATGGTATATGGTCTTTTTAAAGTAAGTATATGCTTATTTATTCTACTTTGACAGAAAGGTTGTATGAACGTTGTTCAAGTGTGTGTTACAAATATAATCAGCACAAAAATATTTTTTCCCAGAGGTGCTTTTCTTGAAGGTTGAAGTAACTGATTAGCAGGTTCTTTCCTTTTTAACAGATGGAAGCTGATATGCATCTTGCACTTCTACAGCTTTGACTTGTAGTTGTATTAAAAATATGGTAAAAATGCATATTTGCCGCTTTTTGGGATTATTGCAACCAAGTACAAAGACTGAAACATAATTTGAAAACTGTTCATGGTTGGGCAGTTGCTATGTAACTTAGCAGTGGGAACTTCTCTAACCAGGACCAGCTCTACTTTTCCCAGCCGTGATACTTATTTCTGTTGCCTTTATGAAAATTCTGGAGCATCATTATGTCATCACTTTGACGCAATGTCAATACTGATTGGGGGGTTCCTTTCTTAATGTTCCCTAGCTATTGTCATAGCTGCCCTGTCTCCAGTGATGGAAATATCGCTGTTCTAGCCAAGTGTGTGCATACACACATGTAACATACTTGTGCAAAGCTGATGGCAGCTGTCATCCATTACAGTAGCTTTGTCTCCAAGAATGGGTGAGCAGCAGGTGTTTTAGAGGAGTTTTGAGAATTTGGGGAAAGTTTATCTGACCTTCTATGTGTATTCGTGGTAGTCAAAACTGCAACAGTCCTGATTCCAGCAATGGCTTCTTTCTCTGTAGCGATACAGTGGAGGTGGCTATATCAAATAACAAAACTATTTCAGTATACTTAAGGGATCTATACTGTGTCTTGGAACTTTATATAGTTGCCCACAATGTAGTTGATGCCATAGTTTCTCTACAGCTGGGTTTAACCAGCTGAAAACTAAACCTGATCTAAACATTTGAGTTGTGCATTTTCTAAGAGACTTTGTTAACAAGGTACTTGAACAATGTTTGAATTCTAATGCTTGTATTTTGAAATGTAAAGAACACTAGTGCTTTCAGAAGATTATATACTCAGTGCCTTTGACAACAGAACAAAAAGGAAGCTCTTCAGGGATCCAGTAGAAAGTCCATATACAAGCAATGAAATCTAGAATGTAACATACCCTACAATACTAGCCATAGAAAAAGAGTAACAGGAAGTAGTGAGAGGTGGATTTGTGATAGTTAATGAAACCATACTTAATCTTTTTCATTTGTTGTTTTTAGGCAAAATTGGGTGAACAAGGAAATCTTTCAGAACTGGTTAATCTCATCTTATCTTTTGCTGATGGAAACAAAGATGGTAGAGTTTCTCTGCCAGAGGCAAAATCCGCATGGGCACTTCTGCAGCTAGATGAGTTTTTGTTAATGGTGATCTTGCAGGATAAAGAACATACTCCCAAGTTGCTGGGTTTTTGTGGGGATCTCTATGTGACCGAAAGAGTTGAATATACCTCCCTCTATGGAATCAGCCTTCCATGGGTTATAGAACTTTTCCTTCCCTCTGGCTTCAGAAGAAGCATGGACCAATGGTTTACTCCATCATGGCCAAGAAAGGCAAAGATAGCTATAGGGCTTTTAGAATTTGTGGAAGATATTTTCCATGGACCTTATGGAAACTTTCTTATGTGTGATACAAGTGCCAAAAACTTGGGATATAATGATAAATATGATTTGAAAATGATGGACATGAGAAAAATTGTGCCAGAAATGAATCTGAAGGAAATAATTAAAGATCGTCAGTGTGAATCAGATCTGGACTGTATTTATGGTACAGACTGTAGAACTGTATGTGACCAAAGCAAAATGAGGTGTACCACGGAAGTAATTCAGCCAAACCTGGCAAAAGCCTGTCAGCTACTTAAAGACTATCTGCTTCGTGGTGCTCCTTCTGATATCCATGAAGAACTAGAGAAACAACTATACTTGTGTATTGCCCTTAAAGTCACAGCCAATCAGATGGAAATGGAGCATTCTTTAATACTCAATAACTTAAAAACTTTACTGTGGAAGAAAATTTCCCATACAAATGACTCTTAACTTCTCCACCAGCAGAAGATAATATAGATGCCTGCCGCTAGAGGTGGCCTACCACTTTGATAAAAATGATTTGCAGCATTTTTAAAAGACGTTTTGTTACTCAGATTTCATGACTGGCCCTTCACCTCTTGCCCTCAGTCAGTACCTTACACAGGGCTTCTCAGAGAACGTGCCACTGAATGACTGGGCAGAGGCCAGAAGCACTTCTGGTGTTCCAGTGCTGTTATGGAAACAAAACCTGCATGCTTGACTGTTCTGTGCACTTTGTCAGATCTTGAGCAGGATGGAAGTATTCACTGTGCTACCACATCAACTGCTGGGACATCTCACAGTTCTGTGAAAATCATTGCTCACTTGTGAAATACATGCAAAAGATTTTTATCCCAAGTAGTTTTATGAAGAACCACCACTACTGCAAATAATGTGTCTGAGTCCAAGCTGCTGTTGTGAATAAACTGAACTGTGAGACTGAAGTTTACTAATACCTTGGCATGGCAGAATTTGCACATTAATAATTTTTAAACTATGGAAAAAATCAGAATTTTATTCTAGAACTGACAAGCTGTAATGTAAGAGTTAGATTCTGTTTACACCTTGTTACCTCATGCTTTCATCTTGAATGTTCTTGAAGTAGGTCAACACTTTTTTAATTAAGCCCTCATACAGTGAACCATGTTGGCATAGGAGAGTTTTACATGTTGTTTCTTAAAGTCATGTATATAGACTATCAGCAATATCAACATCCATTTCAGAAACCGTACATTATTGTACTGCAGTTGAAACCTTTAAACCAAATTAAGCTGCAGCAAATACTGAAAAGTAAAGTAAGCTTGTGGACTAAGCTATTGTATGAAAATTGAAGTTAATTGATTTTTAAAAATACTGTTAGGAGCAATGTCCTAACAGTTAAAAAAGGAAGCTTTTGCATACTGTAGGAATCTGGTCTATGACATGAAACAAGTCAGAGTTGTGGATAAAGTCTTGGCTCTGGTAAATCCCTCTGGATTTATAAACTTCCTGCAACAGTTAAGAGGATTTAAGCCAGAGCTACATGTGAACTGTTGGACAGAAGCTGGATGGTTCAGGATCACGGAATAGTGCATAAATGGGAGCTATGAGATAGTAACAGCTAGGAATGAGGTGGAACTTAAGTTAGCTGTAGTGTTACTCCTTTTCAAGTAGCATCTCTGAGTCCTTGTTAAGTCTCACAATCATGAGTAAATAAACACCATATGGTCCTAGCACTTTGTATAGCATGACCACTGTAACACCTTTATTCTGCATCCTTGCTGTTTCTCAGATTTACAGTTATGCAGAATTGGATGCACATAAAACACCTTAATACTGTGCTCAATACTTATCTGTTAATGCTTTATTTATAAATGTTTTAGGTATCAAGTAGTCCAATCCTTAATGATCTTAATGGCAGTCATCTATATACTTCTAAATCCTGGCCCTTCAATTTTCAGCATTAGTAAGGACAAGCTTTACTGAAATATTTAAACATTTGCTTTGGGTATCCTGTATGAAATGTGTTCCTTGAGCACAGGACCAACAAAGTAATTTCTCCATACCATGGGTGAGAGTATGCAGCTTAAAGAGTTAAGAGTGTACTGTTTTGTAAACATCTGCTTTTTATAGTTTAAGAATTACTATGCTAATGCTAATTATTGTCTCTAACCGGATGGTATCCTCCAACAAGCTAATAAGTATTTGTAGCCAGCAATGTACTCAAGTGGTCATGTTCTTGGTGGAAAAATCTGACTAGTAGGTTTTGGCCAGACATTATTGAATCCAAAATTATGTTGGGTATTTTGAACAACTGGAAAATGTGTTTAATAGTGCAGTTTGTTGTACAGAACCTTCATTTTTATTGCTGTTTCATCAAGTTGGAGCTTTCATTGGAAAAAATACACTTTTGTTTACAATAAATCTCTTTCAACAGCAGTACTTACCATCTGTCCATACCTTAAAACATTCCTCTGTGTAGCCTACTTGACTCATGTTCTAACTGTGCAAGCAACTTCAGTAAGTCTACTGAGAAAACAAATAGGAAGTGCTTACCAAGTGAGCTGTAGGAGAAAAGAGAGGCTAGAGAGGATTCTCTTGTCTAGTCACTGAAGGATGTGAAAAATTCAACTCAAGACAGTACCTGTTTCAGTAGCAGCCAGAGCTGAGCACATGGTGAAGTGCTTTCTTCAGTTACTGGAGAGAGCTTAAATACTTCAATTAAATGTATATTCTTTTATCAGCAACAGGTAAGTTTCAGTAGAGGAAGTGTTGCCACCTGTGTTCCTGAAGGCCTAAGGCTGCCTTTGGGCAGAGCAGTCACCTACAGTAACTACAGCTTTTCTTTTCCCTTAAGCTACATACAGATTTCCCTGTAACATTACATATGCTGAAAGGAAAGGGGTGAAGGCCATGTAAAGCCGGTTTTAAAAATTTAAAATCTTTTTTTGTAGTTAGAAGTAGGAAGTTCTTCTATCTAGACTTAGATATGAGACATGCCCAAAATTACTTGCACTGATTTCCCCTTATGGGAATAATGCAGCAGACTTGGTTTTGAAGTCTGTCATCTCTCTTCTCTGTTGTTAAGTTCAATTCATAGAGTATTTTGAAAGGGAAAAAAACCCTACACTTAAAGTTACAGCATATCTAGGTCATAAAAAAATATTCTGGATCTTGAGAAGATAGATTAATAAGCCAGTCTTACACAGTTGATTACTCAATAAATTTATTGCCACTTTTTCCAAAGCTTCATAGAAAATTGTGGAAGTTGTCTTAACTATCAGCTGCACGCTCCTGGGCCCTGAGAAAGCTCGCCTTCTTCTGAGCAACACGATCTTTCTTCTGGGCGAGGGACATCTTGGGACAGTTCCATCTGCAATGTAAGCATAATGTGTGATACATCCAAGGCAGAAATGAGCACAAAGCTGGTCAAGAAAGCTGCAGTGCACCAGAACTGTGATGAGTGCTATGCTAGAATATATTCCCACTTCTTTAACACTTATTTCCTCCTAATGATTTAAAGCTGTAGTTAGGCCACCACAAAACAGCATGGTTAAGACTGCAACAGTGTAATGGCTCAAGTACTCTTTTGTGACTTTAGTACAGACAGTATCAAGACCAGTAGAATAGCTGTGCCTTGATTTCTCTTCTCCCAAGCCCCTGAAAAATCAAAATGGCTTCTTATTGACAAATTCACCTGAGGCGAAGCAGCTCTCCCACTGTAAACACTAAGACCTGAAGATACACACTTTAAAAAGTTCCATCTATTCAGGACACAAACACTTTTAAATTCTTTTTTTCGTATAATTGAGAGTTCTTAACTTTAGCAGTATGAATCAAAAGTTTAACTCCCAACCAAGTTATGCAGAAATAATTGTATCTTATTCTCATCTAAAAATGTGTGTTTTGACAAAACTGCAATGTGCATTACATTATTTAATGTAACTAAAATATCACATTCATGTTGAAGAGGATGAGAGCTTTACCTCTTTTTCTTGACTTCTCTCTTCGGTTTCTTTTCATGGACTGGATTATCCCGTATAGCAGCATGGGCTTTTTTATACATTTCTTCCATCTTAACAACAACAAAAACATTTGTGAAATTCTCCCTAGCAGTCCAGTTGTAAAATCCAAGATATCTTTCCTTAGTGGAGTGTGTACTAGAAACAGGTTTCATCACAGCACAGCCTGTGATTTCATGTGGTTGCCTATAAAACACTTTCTTCATACAGATGGTGGCTGCACAGCATACTGTAATTGCTGCTACTGCTGATAAAATTTAAACTTCCAAGCCCACAGCTTGGACACAAAATGGAGAAAGTAATTTTATCCTTACTTTACAGTTAGGAAACCAAGGCCAAAGAGTAACTGCAGACTACTCACAAGTCTCATAAATACAGGCTAGCATCTGCCAGTTAAAATACTGTTTCCTCTGAAGCCTACTTTCAGTTCTGCAGCTTCCCTACCTTGGAATTAAAAGGCAGTCTAGAAAGTTATTCTGCTTCTACCTAGAATGAAATATTTCATGTTTACTTAAACAAAAATTATTCCACATTAACTCTGCATTCAGACATGTAACCTTGTCACTTTTTTTACTGTAGTACAAACTAAAAAGCTACTTAGTAAGATCGGAAAAAGTAGAAGTTGTTGTGAAAGCAGCTTCAGATTGAAAAGTCTTGTAGAACTCTGACAGTCTCTGCATTTTCCCCAAGGATGCAGTATTAATGGCACTCTCTGCCTCCATAATGGCACCTGTTAAGAACACCTTTACGGGTGGTTAGTTAAGACCACTAGATCCCAGCTGGGAAAAAAATTTTATATGTACTAAGAGAAGTGTCTAGCTATTGATGTAAGTACTGGAGTTACTTGACAGTGATACAAGCTATCAATAGTTAATAGATGAAGCTGCCACTTACAATACAATCTTATTTTTTATTCAAGACTAAGTTACAAAAAATTAGTAACTTAAGTTTACAAAGACCCACAAAACTCCATAGCTATGAAGGGATGAAGAATTTAATTAGGTTTTCCATAGCCTAGAAAGGGAACATGAGAGTGTTCGTTTCAACCTTTAGGACAACTAACTGGGGAAGCCAAGCAAAAATATTACAGGCAGCAGGACAAGCCGCCTGAAGGAAGTACCTTGGTAAACCTTGTTTATGTTCTGTACAAAGTATTCTAAAGTAGTACAAAAGTAACATGTATTACACACTCTGTAGTTTCAAGAGATGCTGACTTCTACAACAGAGTGAGCTTGGGCTATTCTGTGTTCACCTGGGACCTCAAACTACCTCTAGGGTCACAGAAATCTAAAACAGATTTGACATCAAGTGTGTCCTCACAGCTGCAACCACCACAGCTGCAGAAAGGACAGGCTGTGGTGCAGGACTAGGAATGAGTGGGTAGCAAACTGAAGTTAACTTCCACAGGGGGGGGAAAAAAAAAAAAAAAAAATTCCAGCATAGAATGCAGTCCTGGAAGCTTAGATTTACATGCAGAATGTTAGGCTTCATAACAGGAAAAAAGTCTTACTTTTTAAAGATCTAGAATACACTACAGAGCCCTTAAAGGAAAAAAATAATTTCTTTGCACGTGTAACATAGAACATGAATCACATTTTACACCTCAATCTTATCTGCAGTACTAAAGTCTCTATGTGAGACTTATCAGCATCTCTATGAACGCACAAAAGCCAGGCAGGTGAATCTTACCCCATCAGGTGTTACATTGTTCTTTATGTACTGGGAGAATTGTTTTTTGTAAGCATCTTCATCCTCCTCCATCAGGTAACGCATATAATCTGCAACATTTTGGCCCATGATATGCTTGCGGTGAACCTCTGCATTGAATTCTTTGCTCTCCGAGTCATAACCAGGGAAGCGTTTGGTGCTGTGAAACAGCAGTCAGTCAGATTAAGACATACTGTGAAATGCTCCAATTCAGAGGCTAGGTTCAACACAGAAACGACTGACACATCAGATTCTCCTACAGGACCCTCTAATTAAAAACGAAGAGATAAGAAATAGAAGTTTTAAGCTCATCTCAGCTGCCATCAGTCCCGTCTTGAAACAGTGCAGTACATCACACACACACCATTGACCAATTACAGAGTGTTCAGTCACTGGGAGTATCATCATGTAGCAGCCAAGTCAGAAAAACTGGAGAAGTACTGAAGAATGAGTAGGGCAGCATGGAGGAGGGTAGGAAAATACCCCCAAAATCTGATTTTTCCCCACTGCTTCTAGCAGAAAGAAGCAGTCAATTGTAGTATCAGTATCAACACTGATAAAAACAAACACAAAACTGCCAAAAATCTTGTCTCATTCTTTCATAACCTATGACAGGAATAGTTAAAACTTCCCCATGGAAATTTTAAGTGCAGGTGGACTGCTTGTCAGTACTAACAACTGTAGCAAATGTCAATGTTTTTGTACCTGGTATGTACAGTTTTTCACATTGCAATTAGTATGTGCAATTTGCTAAAGACTTAACAGCATACTAAAGGATATTTACTTAAGTGCATTCAATCTCGTGATGATTTCAAGTAAAAGCAACAAGATGGCTGTTTAGTTTCTAAACATTTAATAGCATCTCTTGATAGTTGCAAGGTTCCCAGCTGCACTATCAGAATTGCACTTGTGGATTAAAAAACACCCACCAAACCAACCAAAAAAAAACCCCAGAACCTAGGCTGCATAATCATTACCAGGTCATAATACAATTATTTCGACATAAAGTGAGAGTGTAACTTGACTGTCACATACAGAATTAACTCTAAAGGAATTCTTCCAACAAGACTAGATCACCTGTGAGGGATGGACAGACCACCATCCACTGCGCCCTTCAGAGCACCAAAGACTTTGTTTCCAGTGGTTGTTCTGGCAAGACCTGCATCCAGGTAGCATGTGAAAGCTCCAGGCTTTCCATCCACGCTTTCCACGTTGTATTCATCACCAGTCACTTCAACTTGGCCTTCATAGATCTTATCAAGGCCAAATTTATTCAGAAGCTGTGGTGAAGAAAAAAAATGCACTTCTGAAATTTTTTTCATTCATTGACAAAATGAAGACTCATCATCACCTTAAAACATAAATCTGCAGTACAACCTGCATGTTTTAACAAACATCTATTAAAAAATAGGCACCTCATACTAATAGTTTTTAACAACCACCACTGTAAGCATGTCTGTTAAGTTTCAACCTTTTGTTCCAACAGGCACACAAGGGAACTGGAGACTTACTCATGAGCTCCTCCAGAAAATGGATGGAAGCAGTTTACATGTTTTTAGACTCCTAAAGGTACATTTCTTACATTTTTATCCTGATGCCCTCCCTCCACCAAACTTAAGTGCCTTGACTTAAAAGTGGGGTGCTGTAGCTGAAACTGCATGCTGTCATACTTCTCACTGTGATTTGACAGTCACCAAATGCCACCAAATCTATATGGTACAGGGCACAAGTTACTATTTAGAGAAGCCCAGAGTTGGGTGTCTATACTGACACGCCACTTAAGCAAGCAGGCTCTCCCTTTTGCAAAATAAACAGAAAAACAGAGGAGCAGCTGCCAGACAACATGACAGATACCTACCCTGCGTGCCAGCAGTAGACCTGTGCAGTAGGCTGCCGCATAATTGGTCAGACCAACCTTCACACCGTATTTGGGCAACTCATGGGCATAAGCAGCACAGACAATCATGTCACCTTCGATTCTGGCATAGGCAATCTGGCAACAAAACAAACATTAGCGTTCTCAAAGTAATCCCGGGCTCCGCTTTTCCTTCGACATCTGTTTAAGCTGATAGGAATTCTGGATAGGTATGTCCAGCAAACTGCCAACTTCTGCATGCAAGCTCAAAGGCTGGTGTTTCTTTTCTTTTTTTTTTAACATATCATTAACTCAAGTATAGATGCAAAGAATTCAAAGCTGTATTAGGTCAGAGGAAGTCTGTCAGCAGCAACTTTTATTTACCTCTCCACGTACGTCAAGACGCCGGGAAACTGCCTATGGAAGCAACCTTTCAAAGAATCATTTTGGGTGTGGATGGGCACCTTCTGCATGTAGTTCTCATGTAACACAGTATATAACACACCTCAGAAAAACACAGAAAGCACCTGGTAGGAGTTTGTGGTAACACTGTTACTAACCTTATGGGATGGTTTTATTAATGGGTCTGAGATTTTTCATTATCATCTCAGGGGGCTCCTGTGAGACAGCAGTACTATCGGGTGTAGTTCTACTCTTACTTTCACATACAAAACCTTCTTTTGACCGCCACACCTCCTTTCAACATCCAGAAGTTGTCCCCTTTTGGCAGGACTGTTACATGCCAGAAAAGCACTATCGGCCAGATGTGAGGACCTGCCACCCCTGATTTTTGTTTTGAGTTTCAAAGACTAAATAACCTTGTTGAGGTCATGTAGTTTTGTCTGAATTAACTGTAAAACAGCACTCTCCACTGTTCTCAACACAGAGTTATTCTATGAAGAAAAAATGGACAGTTCAACTTTTCTAGCTGTTCCTTTTTCGGGTTTAACAAAACATCTTTATGATAGAACAAACCCACCTACGTTTTTATCCTCAGAATCTTTTGATTAACTTTGAAAAATGAACCTCAGCAAGGAACTGCATATGATGCAACACTCAACTGCAAACTTAATAAGCATGAAAAATGCCTACTACTCTTATTCACTGTTCTCCTTTAATCTCTCAGGAAAGCCAACGTAAGGCCTGGCTGCTTCACGTGATCCACGTAACATCACAGACAGAACTCCCAAAAGAGAAGGCCTGTTTAGATACAGCACAATAGTCAATGCAGATTGAAAGGACACACAGTCAACTTTGTTGTCCTCAGCCAAGCAAAACCACCCTCTTTTCAATGCACTTCGAATACAGCAGGAAAAAAAAAAAAAATCTTCCTTCTCTCTAAATTCTTATTACTGCAGCATCCCTAGAGCAATACAGCTCTGTATTATGAATAGCCTTGCTGATGATGACAGCAATAAAATTTTGTATTGTGAATAGTTTATTACTGAAATTGTGTCAACGTTAAAGATCAGTCTCCTCCAAGAAACTTTTTTACAGTATAAAAACTGCTCAGATCAAGCCTAAAAAAACCCCAGCTGCTTCAAGTGCCCCCAGTTTCTGTTCCAGACAGCCCCCCCTTTCTGTTCACAGACCTTACCTGGCAAATGATGTCTCTGTTGGTAACACGTACAATCATCCTGTATTTAGGGGTGTTGTACTTGTTTTTATCCTGAATTACCAAACGTTTACGAGCATAATAATCAGTTTTTCCCTCTGAAAAGCGAGACAGTGTAGAAAACGTGTGAAAAAAATGGGCTTATTCATCAATGACATCTAATTATATGTTATAGGTAATTTAACAATACCTCTCCTTCTCCTGAATTTCACTTGGTATCTCTTGAAGTAGGCCTTATTCTTGACAACTTTCACAAACCCCTTGAGTAAAAAATATAACAGATGTTATTAGCTGTGTTAGAATGGCCTTGGCGTACACAGTTATGTGCTAATATTCCTGATTTCACCACAGTTTTGTTCATAGCACATAACAGGTTTGCTTGCACATTCAGTTAAAAAACTCCTAAAAATAAAACTGAAGAAAATCCCAACATATCAGAACCCAGAATTTCTCTGCTTCCCACATGAACTGAGCACACGTCTCCCTGTAACATCACACAGCTTCAGGAGAAAGCAG